CTGAGGAAAGACTTAATCCATCCCAATAGTGGATAGTCAGTCCCCATAGTCATCAACTTATTAACAGCAGGTGATCGATTCTGTGGAATGCCTTTGAAATGTCTGGATAGAGTACGGGGACTAACTGTTTTCGGTGGCAGTGACGTTATGCACCACCCTTTGCTAAAGGTTTATGTAAAGCTCTCTGACGGTTGTTGCCTAAGCCAAAACGTCCTCCCTTATCACCACTATGAAGGTGCGTCGAACTACGATGGTCAGTGACTTTCCTCAGACGGTCACAGCAGTAGGTAGCTTCCGTTTCGTGTTTTGCCTGCAGCTCGCCTTCATTATGAATTTTTTGGGGTTTACCTAACCAATCCCCCATCTATTTGGAATCCTAGTAACCGCATTCTCCAGCGTGCACCATGCCACCGAAACTCCATGACGAAAGCACACCACCCAAGGTCACGACTGTACTACCCGCCCTACCCTCATGAATATTGGAAGATTTAAACAATACCCGAATAATTCCTAATTTCGAAATGGGCTCGCTTCAGTATGATGAACAGTTACGCTGGTGTTTGTCCGACTTAACTTTCGCTGTCTGCTAGGTATCAACGTTCTTCCTTTAGACGCGCCTCTCATGTGTCGTGAATAACGGTGTCTAATTTATATTTTGATGTTGTACACAACAGTCAGTTCACACTACCAAAGTGACCAAATCCGTAAACTGAGTTTTTTCATGTAACTTATGTTGCTCGAAATGCATTATTATCATTGTTGAGTCGGTCAGGCGGTTCTAATCCCTGGGCAAACCACACTGAGCACCAACGTTGGACCCACTGTTACGACAACTGCCACTGAACGTCACGAAAAATGGTTGGCAGTGGAGCAAAATAAGAGAATTATGCATGAAGACATGCTCGGACACAGTAACACAAAGGTTGACTGCCGGTCGAACTCTGCCATCCTATTTGACATCCGCCTGAACAGCGGTGCCTTGCTCAAACGAAGAAGGGCATTTGACGGGAAACAGTAATGGGATGCTGCGTGTTGCGTGCTAGGGTCAGGTCTTCTGTAAGCGAATCTGTTCCAGCCCTAAGAAGGCATCTGTTTATCATTAAGAAGGCCAATGAGGGTGGCCCCAGGCTCAGCAAAAGAGACTGATGTCTACTTCCTGCCTTCTCGTGTGCTGGTCATTAACCTGTCATCCGGCATGAGAAGGGTATTGGTTGGCTCAAGGTCAGTGGGAAATTGATTGATGGTGTATGGCAGTGCTAGTGGTTATTAGCATGGGCGAACGTGAGTAGAATAGCAGACGTAATCCTGACAAAAACTAAGTTACTGTCTGACACCAGTGACGTCGAGGTTAGTCGGAAGGTGTATCAGAGGAGATGGGTAGTACGGAGTTAGAGTGGCAGTGGATTTGAGTAGTCATTTCGAAAGTGAAAAGACCATTGCCACCGCAGTGACAGAGTTTCCTAGCTCATTCTGGTGCCACTTTTCTATCAAGCACACCATGTGCCATGTAAGAAGACCATGCTGACTTTTACCCTGGTAACTCGGGATGGAAGCATCAGCCAATTCAAACAATATTCATGCAGTTGTCCATGAAGCGCGGCCAGATCACCCTCCAGGGGATTTTAGTGATTCGGCACAACCCGGAGCAAAGCAGCATCACGATGAGCAGGGAGTTCAGTCGAAATCCTTTAAGTACCATGAAAAAGGCTTGGTTATGTGGGACGGGCGAAGGTACTCATCAAGGACTAAGTAGAAGGGAATAAAAATGGACCATCTTTTCACTGGTGGGTGATACACATTTCCGAGCCCACTTTAAAGGAAGGACTGGCTCCGTGGTATTCTACTTTCCAGCTTTTAGAAAATAACTATTTTGGGAGAGAACTAGCTCTTGTCTTTGCCAGGCGAGCTCCGTAGCTATGAATCCTTTGATAGCCCCATGGCCGTACACCCTATCAGAGGATATGGGTAATATGGACAATAACTTATGTTCGAAACGTTGTCCGGCAGATGACACTGTCTCACTGTGTGACACTTCTAATGAACGGACTAAAATGGCATCAAATTTAGCAGGGAAGTAGTTATGTGACTTAACGTTAACAGCATCACAATCCAGTGTGTCACATAGAGCTACTCTGGCACCTTTGCTGTTCATAATTACATGAAAGGCCTGCCTTTTGGTCTCAGCTCTCCATTTTGTCGTTGCGCTGACTACGTCAGGTCATGGAAGGCTGTGGAAGGGAACTGAGCAGACTACCAGATGACCTCGGAATGCTTGAAGAGTGAACGATAATAACAAATTGGCATTTAAACCCGATTAATACCTGACAACGTTTTGTGCACTGCTGACCCGGGCCATTTTTCAAGCTCTGCAAGACCTGCCTAAGACCGCACTCAGAAATGCATAACGTCGCTTTGCCTCCGTATTTGGAAAAGAAGGCTTATTCAGGGGATTAAGTCCAGGGACGAGCAGAAACTAGTTTCGTTTGGATGCACGAAAATCCATACCATGATAGACCAAAAGATCTATTACTTTAGGCTACATTTTCCACTCCAAAATACGTGTGAACTTACCAACAGCCCATGAGATATCAAGTAACCTAAGTCATCCAAACAGAGAAATACTCCCTGAAGGGCCCAATGGTTATCCATGTGGAAATTCGAATCCATTCTTTCGTCAAAAGTCGAGAACTTATGTGTGATGGCACACTTCTTGCTGGGTCTGTTGCTCATAGAGCGCACTATCTTTTGAGGTTAACAACCTGCAATCTGTAGTCAGCTTCAAGGAAAGTCTGGATATCTACATATGTCTTCCACCTATGCAGCTGGGATGCAAGCGGGGTGGAAGCAGCTAATTTGCATTGGATAACTATAACTAATAGATAGATCAATATTTCTCTTGCTACTCCCGTCCTGATGCTCTTTTATTGCGATTCTTGTTACGGATTTTCTTCAGTCTGTTACCCCACTCCTATTGGGCGTCCTACCACCGCAGTTACCACCTTGGTCTTTTACCATTACCGTTCCTTTTTTAATTGTCCCTACTCAGTTTTTCCCCTCTTCGTTTCCCCGCTGTTACCCTATATGATTCAGAAGTGCTTTCTCAAGTCCCAAATTGACTATTTTCTCTCTTCTCTTGATCTATTTTACGTTATTCTGTTTCGCCTTTCTCCCACCCTACCATCCTCTCCTTTGTTCTCTTTGGTCATCTCTTGAGTCTGATTATCATTCTTTTGAAACTGTCACGAATACCTGCCCGGCAGTGCAGTATATAAAGACCTTATCTGCACCATACTCCTAGGATAAACCAAATTCTTCATACAAATTCAGCCAACACCCATCTACCCTCCATGCTTACCAGAGTAAGGGTGGGCGAGGGACTGGATTCAATGCATATACTCAGTCTTATATAGGAACTCTTCAGAGACAAGGAACCGTGCTGAAGGAAATGGACCGAGTAGTAAGAAATTAAACGGTTTATGAAAGCTCTTAAACCAGATGTTGGTAATTAACCTTGATAGTATTGGTAACATGAGGCGCCTGGTTTGGTTGGAGGACATGCTCTTTATTTTGTGAATGCTGTAATGCATTTGAAGCTTTACTCATCCACTTTCCATTTTCAATTTCGAGACTGCCTCATCTCGTTGTCAAGTTCTTCCGTTTGTCAGTTATCTTTTAATATTAAGTGTAAGTGCACACGGTAGCTTCCCCAACACTCGAGAGAAACTTCAATCTCTTTGAGAAAATATAAAGATCTACATCAAATCCACTTGTGAGACTAAGATAGACGACATACTCTAAAAGACTGAATTGCCTAAACCTACTCGCTTTCGGCTATTGCAGAAATAGGTGCCTTATAAAGGACTACAAGATCATCCACCAGACAAGTCACACTAAGAAACTAACTTTAGCTGCAACATGGCGATCATCATTAGGGAACCCTATCGGGATAGGATATCAAAAAACCGGGACTGAGCTCAGGTCCAGCTTCTCCTTAAGGGTATGTGCTTTATAAATTGCCTTGCCTCAATAGAGTCAAAAGACGGTTAGGCAGTTGTCATTTTGTATGGCTTACCACAGACGTACTCTTAAGTAACTAGACCCATACTACCTACTTTTGCCTCCTGATTAACTCCCACATACATTTTCCCCCTATCACGGTATTCCTTATCAGGCATCTATACAGACATGAGTTACGAAGACCTCTAATCTTCTCAGAAGCCCATTGTCCCGTAGCCATCTCAATCTAAACAACACAATTACCAACCCACAAAGACTCTGACCTCGCTGGCGCTAAAAGCAGGAGAGATTTTCTTGCCCACCGAGAGAGCAAACCAGACAGCAAGAAATAGATGTGAAAGATCGGTGACTCAGTTTTCTACTGTGGCGCTACTGATGTCGGGTCTTGTGTATTTGCTGAGTCACTGGCTCTCGTTTTCCTCTTCCTCTTTTCCCTTCAAAATTCTGTGGCCACCACTGAGCTGACACTACTGTACGCAACCCCCTGCGAAATCGTACTTACCTACAGGCTAGATTAAAGCCTATAAACCGACAGGTAGTCGTTACATTTTGATGCCATAGGTGGGATCCGGCTCGCTCACGGTCAGACTGATGTACATTCAACAGCAGCCATTCTGTCGAATGTTACTCGAACCAGCTTCACACACTATGCCTAGCCTCTAAGCTACCCAGCCACACTGGGACAGTGGTTTTTCACCTAACGGAGCGATGTAACTCATTGATACCTTGCTGTTCCAGTTTTGATTCTTAGGCTGCCTCATCCCTATGTTGTTGAGCTCTGCCGTTTTCCATTATCTTTTATTACTAAATTTAGGTACATCCTACGTACTTGTTGAGTCGTAGCCTCACGTTTTCCTCTCCCTTTTACCCTTCCAGATTTCTGAAGTCACCACTAAGCTCATTCCTCTACGCGCCCTTCTTCAACAACGTACCTACCGGCAAGATATACGAAAATCTACTAACACCTGGGTGTTACACTCCAAATGGATCTGATTGTATACGAAATTCACCCTCACATAGCTCTGCTGCGTGAAATTGTCGGTGAAAGCAATGAAGAGTTTATTTTCGATGATTCAGATGATGAAAGCTACTTAAAAAGCCTTGATCCAAAAAACTGGAAAGATCAAGATCATTATGCAGTTTTAGGATTGAGAAAAAAGCGTTACAATGCTACTCCGGATGACATAAGAAAGGCTTGTATGTTGTGATTTAAACTTTATTGTGTCAGATCGCAGAAAAATTCTTGACCATCATCCTGACAAGCGTCGTTACAAAGGTGAAGCTGTTGGCGATGAAAAACATGACTACTTTTCTTGCATAACAATAGGTGAGTTTTGATTTCGATTACTTTTTCATGTTTTATGAGTTTTTAAAGCTTTGGGGATTTGAGTGATATAGACATTGTGTTGTTTTCCGTGATCGATTACTATGGTCGAATCATATCCCAGTCGGGGCAAAATAGGGAAACGCTACAATTATTACTAATGTCTGCGTTCTTCCTCATCATTTTCTTAGAGCTGTTCCCCCGGAATCTAAAAACCATACAGCTTTCAAAATGTCTATAAAATATCCTCACTCTACACAATGAGCATACATGGTGGACTGGTTCCAGGAAGTCTGATATGCATTCATATTTTGTCAGCAATTCTTGACACTAAATTACCGTGGATTACAGACCTGTAGTATATGGGTAAAACTAAACAAAACATTGAGGCAATTAATGAACACCTATCTAATCATCACTATTTTGTAGCAACCACAAACTCATGATTTTATTTTCTAGAGATCGTGATTCCGTAATTGTTTCGTCTACATGAGCTAGGGATACATCACTGCCTTACTAAACTTTGTAATCGACTTGCAGATTATTTACGAATGGCATGTTCTGCTTTGGAATTTCTCACTGTGGATCGTGCGATTGGTAAACAATTAGCGGATCGCTCCTTCACTTTGTCATATGGTGACCCGTTCAGGTTAACTTGAACAGATTAAGTCGATCTGAACAGTCTGACCTGATGACAGCAATTCATCGAAGTACGCAGCCGATAGGCTGTTGTTTAAAGTATTTAGGTCTGGCTGGTCAGTGGTTTCAGACTAATTATTTTGTCCAACAATATTTTTTGTTTGCCTCAGTCGAATCACTTTTCGCAAGGAATACACTAGGTCACTTGTACCACTTCCATCTCCTCTCATCAAAATCTTGAACAAAATTGCATTGGCTTCATCAGTGATCAGTTTATTCACGTCGGAAAGTTGTCTTCATTTGTATGCATCTTATAAAAAATTCTGAGATTCGGTTAGCATCCTTAATGTATTGAAGAAAATAGCAGGATATTCTCTCATTAACAGAATCCGCTCCTGTCAGCAGGTTAAGAAAAACTGGCAAAAACCTCTGATTTGAAATTAATTACTTTTATTTATGACGAGAATTTTGCTAAAATACCTGTCATCTATCACAATTTCTAGCGGTATGTACGAATGTTGAGTCTAGTATTATATGAACAACAGGAATCTATGAAGTCATGCAACCAATTCTGTTAGATGTCTTGCTAAGATAACCTTGGATTTCTGAAAAAATGTGTGATTCACTCACTGATACTAAAAAAGTACTCATGTTCACTCTTCGTAGATGAAACTTCTGTCATGCTAACTGCCTTGTTAAATCAGTCAGAAATAGTCTCAGGTTTGTGTTCTAAAGAAATCAATTTAATCAGAATATCGGTTCAATACAGTCAGTACACTGTCTCTCAGAAGCATGTTGCTAAACAGCGTCCCGTGAATTTTGTGCCTCAATAATCGTTACCTATGTGGGGTATTGGGTAGCTCTTTAAATTCAACCAGTCCTGGTTCGAGTGTTGTTCGGCCAAATAAATATGCTGGTGAATGCCTTTATGTTATATTCTGTTGTGCTATTCAAACACCCACAGTTGTCTCTGATTTATCCTTCGGTTTCGCGGTTTGGTTTTCGTCAAACGTTTATCGCTAATGAAGGCCATCGAACCACATTCCGGTAGCTTTAAAAGGAAACCAAATCATCTGAAACTTATAAACATATAGACGTCAAAGCCTTTCGGTTGCGAAACCTACCATTGAGACCGTTCACAAGATGTTTTCACATCCATTAGACCTATTTGCAAAACGTGTTGGAGACGGGTCGTCTCATTTGTCGAGACTCCAACTGTTCTGAAGTTTAGGTCACTATTGTGTTGAATTAGTAGTTGTTGCTCACTGGTCTAGGTACTTGATTTCCAACCGATGAGCCATACGTTCAAACCCCGCTCCACCTATCTAGATTTAAGCAGGTGAGTGGTAGTATTATTAGCTTTCGCACAATAAGTGTGGCTCATCGCCTACTGCACGAAAGTGCATTATATATATATATATATATATATATATATATATATATATATATATATATATATATATATATATCAAAAACCATTGGCTACCAAATCTAGCCTTCATTGGTGAATTCAGCTTTGAAACCATATTCTATGTATTATTGCTTTTGCTTTGTCGATTTTCTTTATTTTGGCTTTCAATTTAACCTTCCTTCCTAAACTCTTCATATTTTCACCCTTTATCTCTTTATGACCTTTCATTTAATACCTATAACAAGTGTCTGTGTGGTTAGATTGTGTGAAACGTGTCGCGCAAACATAGTACACGATCCAGACAAATTATTGTTCAAGGGTAAGATGACAGACTAGTATCTTCATGTTTGCAGGTTTTAAGGTTACTGAAATCATTTGACACTCAAGCCCTTGCGTTCCAAATCTTTTTGATATTCTAGGGGATATGCAGTTTTGGTGTAATTGTATCTTCGATACGCTGCCGTCTGCTATCCTTTAGTAACTACTAGTTACCGTAAGGAACTCACCTCACGATTGAAAGAGATGCAAACTTTTCAAAGATAAAAATAGATTGGAATCCAATTTCTTTAATTGTTTGCTCTTATTACTATGGACTAATAAATTGTCTTCGGATGTATCTGCCAGGGAGTTAGTTCTTATTCAAATCACCAATCAACTTTTGACTAAAAAGAGTATTTCGAATTAATTTGTTTATAAATATGACAGTTGGACCTGATCTGGCCTACTTGGGAGGTAACGCTGGTGGATTCGCAAATGTTCGTTAGAAAACTGGGTTAATTTGAGGCACGTTTAACGGGAACGATTAGATCGAATTCGTTTCTAATCATCGTTCACTTACCTTAAAAAGTAGGTAGAGCTGTGGCTTATTGGTTTGAACAATAGGCTTTCAAACACTGGATCACAGGTTCCAACCCCATTCCACCTACCAAAGTTTTGGCATCCAGGTAGTATCATTGGCCCTCATACATTAGGTGTGATTCATTGACTACTGCAGGATTTTGCACTTTGTTGCTGAATTTATTACAATCTTGATTCGATGCATCATTATAAAATCTTATAATTTTGAGGGTGCACTACAGTTGCTTTTTTATCTATGACTAGGCCTGCCGATTAAAATTTTTTGTGTAGTAGTAAAAGATTTATTTTCCTTCTTTTATTCTAATTATGTCTTTCCTTGCATAGCATTTGAAATACTGGGAAATCCTAGCAAACGTCTTGCTTATGACAGTGTCGATCCAGTTGTTATAGATGATTCTGTTCCAACCGTGAGTGAAATTAAATCCAACTTCTTTGCAGCATTGGGGAACTTTTCTATCGGAAGTCTAGGTAACTCATTTTGCGTTTACTTCTCATTCTTGAAGATGGTCTAAAAAGCAACCTACACCTCACCTTGGTAACAGTCTAACTGATGTCGAAGATGTTCTTAGATTTTATGACTTTTGGTGAGTTAAGTACCCACTTCTTGTAAATTAAAGTAGTTAATATTTTATACATGTATTCAAGAAGAGGTCGCTTTTAGATTTACTTACTCTAAGTTTAGTTCAAATAACTTCCCTTCCCGTTTAAAACAGGTTTTTTCTAGTAGATTGTATTAGAAAGCTGAACCCAACTAGTCGAAGCACTTGATTGCCGATCATCTAGTTATAAATTCAGGTTGTAATCTATCTGCTAAGTAATCGACTGACTGACCTCACTTCTGACCATCCCCAAACCGCATCATTATCAATACCAACATAGGACCAGGCGTTACTGTGCAGCGGTCCAGGTTGCCACACCTCATATCAACACAAGTTACAAAGCAGTAAGATGCAGGATGAAAGAGAACAATCGGTCAAAAGCAGTAGAAAGCAATAAAAGAGATAAACGGGAAATGAAAAAATACTGAGTTTAGCATAGTGGATAAAGTGTGGATAAATCTACACCACTGACGTCAATTCTGAGCCATGTCACTTAGAATCTCCAACCACTGGTTTTTGTTGTCACATGGACCCCAACCAGCTAGTTTTCATCTCCCAATATGACTCAGACCAACGGTCACGGACTTCATGCAGTAATGCCATGCTTTTGTTTGCTCGCCCTGAACCTTTTGCTAGCTTGAACCCACTTCAACTAACATTGCACACTAAGGCAGACGGTGACTAGGCTTGCGTAACACCTGTCTCAGTCATCTTAGACGATGAAAGCTCACGATCTTATCAATTAATTTTCCTCTCCTCCCTAAAACTCTACACGTGACTTCTGCGTTACTCACGTAATGAAACCACGACACACGATCGATGCTACGAAGGCAACGGTGTTCAAACATCTGAAGCTTTCCTTTATCCTCTATCTTTAATGGCCATGTTTCAGAGACATATAGTAGAACAGAGAGGACCACAGCATGGTGCACCCTACCCAATATAGACAGTCGGATATCGCGGCGGTACCCGCGGTTTACAAACCCTGACCACCACGTCAAGTTAACAGCTTTTGGTTGGACTCCAGAAAGCAAACTAAATATGCTAAAGAAAAGTGACAAATTAATTGTGTCGTATCATTTAATCAAATAAAACTGTTACATTTACGAAATTAATGAAACTAGAAGTTGTGAATAAAATCCATTCGACTAACAAGTTATAGTTACAGTGTAAACTGAAGGCAATCTGACAACCAGTGACTTACTAAAATATGTAAGACTGTTTTATACGAATCACGTTCTGTTAACACGTACGTCATCTCATAGGTAGGGTTCAATAGCTGCTTCATTAGTAAGACTTGAAATCATCATAAGGTAGTATTCAACATGGAGTGACATCAGTTGGAGGACCACTGAAAACCTGGGCCACTGGACAGCTGTTTCGTCTTGGCATGGAATTCCTCAACAGTACGCACCTGTGACCTCGCCAGAGATCAAGCTCAAGATTTCCAACTCTCTTGGCGAACGTGTTAAACATCCAACCACTGGATCGGAGTCCAGTAGTCTATAGTCTCCTACTTCTGTTAGTTCGCTATGTAGCACGACTATCCACCATTAGTTTAGTTACCATAAGCGTTAACGCATTTAATTTTTAAGGCATCTTGTCACTAGTACTCTTCAGACTTTATAAATCGTTTTACCGTACTTTTCGAATGTAGCTCCGCCTCTAGCGTTCATTGCGAAAGCAACACCAACAAGGACAACTGCTGATGCCATGGGTTCCTTTTTCGTTTTCGTTGTTTGATGAAAACTGTTTTGGTTGTTGATGTGCTTAAGTGTGGTGATTGCAAGGCCTAGATGTGTTAAATAATCAGATTTTTATGAAACTTCAAATCGTAGTAGTAACAAAATCTTATTTTTTTATATGGAATGTAAAATTTGTAACCTTTAGCTGAAAAACAAAAAAGTGAAAATTTTCATCATCAGAATTCATGTTCTGATATCCCTAAAACAGCCTCCGTTTCAGTGCACAGCATGAATTACGTTTTCATTGTTATAAGTGGGTACAATAATATCATAGTTGTAGTATACAATTAATTACGACGAAACAAAAGCTTAGTTAAAATTTTGATATTAGTTGTCAACCGCACTTCCAATCTGTAATAAATGAATAACTTTCTAAGGTACTAGCAGCTTTTTGCTTCTGCCTCAACTTAGTAAACTGAAATAAAGTGCGATTTGACCCGAATTGTCACATCGTGTGATGACCCAATGGATGGGAAACCTTAAAAAATGGGATAGAAGGGAATTTAAAAACAAATGATTGAAGAATTACTTCACAACTTGTACTTAGTGGATGGTATTCGGTTACTTTTGATCTGTAAAATTTATATAGAAATTCATTTGCAGGTTTCATTGTATTCACATTTTTTCTGCTTCAAACCAGTTTTTGAAACCTAATTTCGTTAACTGGACTTCAGTTTATAGTTGAAGACATCGTATATGCTGAAATCTACTGCATACAAATCTCAGCTACGTTTACTCTTAGCAACATGAGCTTTGAAGTCGAGAAGCAGTTAGTTATAAATTTCTATCATGCCACAGTTACAACGTTCTCCCTCATTGCCTTCTGCTTATATACTTCGCTAATTAACTCTAGGATTTTTAACTATGAAGTAGCATACACACTTCACATAATTATATAAGTAAGTTTTAATTTAATCTCAGTGTGTTTAGTAATTCAAACCAAATCCAAGTACGCTGCGGTTATATCAAAAATCACTTATATGATGATTAAATCAGACTGTACTCAAATTCTTCTGTGACATTTGTAACAAGTATTGACTGGATGTTTACAGCACTTTAAGCATTCTTGCTGGAGAAAAAGTAGTAATAACTCCCAGATGCCATGCATATATATATATATATATATATATATATATATATATATACCCTTTTTTCAACCTTTTTAGGGAAGAATATGACACTTGTCGTGATTTCTCTTATTTGGATGAAGAAGATAAAGAAAAAGGTGAAGAGTACGTTTCGTTTAGTATTATGTAATGTTTTCGTAATCTTTGAACTGTTTTTTTCCAAGGCATCTTATTTTTGTCAAGATTATACTTCATTCAAATAAAAGTTTAGATTTAGAGAAATTTGTTATGTGCTACCCTTTTTAGTGTGCCGAAGCAAAACATCGAAAAATTCCAGCTGTCTGCTTATTACTACCTTGTATTTTAGATAACTATGATCGCCAGACAATTCACTTAGTTGTTTAACCTACTATTATAATTGTGTCCTTCACGCTGATACTGATATGCATTGGTGATTTTTGTTTTGATGCATTTTCTAGTTTAGATTAGCAGTGAAGTCACTAACTAGTTCCCACTGGTATTTTTATACTGACGGCTTCGTCCAGAAACTAAGTTGTAATAACTTTTCAGCTTTCACTTATGATATTCGGTTTTTAAACTCAGTGATAATGTACATTTTAGCTTTTTAAGAGACGGTACACAAAGTTGTTTTCTTAAAGTTTCAACAATATTGGTTGGACAACTACTCTGTATCTAGGTAGGTACACTGGATATATATTATTTCCCATTGTGGCACCTACTACCAGTGCATCTCTGTAATAAATTGGAATGGTCCGTTGTACTGTAGTAGATTATTAGATCACTCAATTGACTCCAGAAGCTTCAGTTTTCCGTTGGAAACCGAAACGGAGCTATGACTAATTGGTTTATTATGCAGTTGACTTTCAACCAGCGGGTCCGAGCCGTCTACCAAGATCCAAATAGGCAGGTAGTATCACTAGACCTCAGATGATACAGTTGACTCATTACTCAGTGTACTGACGTGCACATGTTTGTATAGCTACACTTCACCTCATGTCTGTTACTAATGAGTGTTCACAGTTTTGTCTTTCTGCTCATCAATATGGTTGTGTGGAGATTTTCAACTATTTTTTATAAGTCCTGTTGTTTTGTTGCTATCCTACTTTCAATCAAAAGACACTTGCTTTCAACAAGATTTGAAGTTTAACAGTGAAATGAATTTTGGAACTATTTCACAGTAACTACGTTCCTCTATTAAATTGTTCCCTGTGATGGTTCTCCATACGAGTATGAATTGTTAATAATGTGGTTCGTTAAATTTGTTGGTAAAGCTAACTGTAATAGCTTAGTATCCATGTTTATTTTAGTCGAGAAACAAGACGTGCAATAGAAAAACAAAATCGTGTGGAACGAGCTCGTCGTAGAAATGAAGAAGTGGGTGCTGTACGACAAATAGTGATACTTGCCAAAGAAAACGACCCTCGAATTATAGCTGCAAACAAGGCTGTTCGTGAAGCAAAAGAAGCAAAACGTCAAGCTCGTTTGGATGCTGCACGTAAAAAGAGAGAATTAGAGGAGGAGGTATGATTCAGTACTATCGATAAACAGCATAATGATCATACTATTCCATTTTTTCTTACTTCGGAAGCGAATACACTGTTTTACAGTATTTGTACCCAGTTGCAATAGCTAAGCATTTCGCTTTAATCTTACATAGGTATTATTTTTTATCCTTCATCTTGTCTACTGGATTAGGTGCATGGATCTTAGGATGTTCAGTGATAACTGCAGGGTGGAGATGTATTAATCAATGAATCTTTTCTCTAGCTTTCTGGCAAGTCTACATTATAACCTGAAAAATTGTTATGGGTCATGTATGCGAAGATGTGTGTTTAATGTATCCCTTAGGACTAAACAAAATAAGCTGAGGAATAGGTTTTTGCTTTCGAAAGGTCCTTTAAACTCATTCGAAAACGTGAGAAAGCTAGTGATACCCAAATTGCAGTGGCTAGAACTGATTTGAAATTGTAACCCACTGTACATATGACATGGTGAGAATAATTCAGAGAAGAGCACCAGTTACTTTGAAAGTAATTTTTTCTTGTGTGTCTGAGCAGCAAATTAAACATGTAATATGAAGATAACACATGCATGTGATTTTCTAGCCAAGCTGCAACGCGTTATCGATCATAGTGCTATGATTACTTAAATCAGTTTACCAAAAATGCAAAAGTCAGAAGTGAGTGTCAGACATCTCTCACCTTGGTTATATAATTGTGGATACTTACTGATACTTCTGACCGCATAAAATTGTCCTTTGTGGTTAGCAAAGCTCAAAACTGAAGAACTTTCTAATGAATGGACGGTTATATTACTAAATAACAAACTATGCAGATGGACTAACAACGTTGACTGGTTATAACGCAAACCTTGAACATTGCACGCTTTTGTTCCTAATAGTGAAACCTATCTGTGTAGTGGCAGATGAAAACCTATCCCCATCTCATGAATTGGAGCAAGTTTTAATCAGATTACGCATGTCAATGACTTGGTATGTGAAATATGTGAACCTTCAAGAATTATCAGTTTGACGATGCTTGTAAACTGGTATCTCTCATGTTAGATCCATTATATGAGAATAGGAATTTTTATTATCTCTATGACGTTCTGCATATGTTGAAAAGTGGTATTTTCTTCTTCGTCTCATAACCGCGATCTTCTGATGTTTTTCATAGAGTTTAACGACCTCCCCACTCTACTATTCAGAACTCGTAAAATCTTGTAGATTTTTCGATATATATCAATGTGATGATCACTGTAAACTGGCTTCTCTCATGTTAAATTACTAATGTAAGAATAAAGTACTTATTTATTTTTATTCATTTATTTGTCTCTTATTTCAGAGATTTGTTTATGACTACAGTTCATTTCCCAGTAGTGTATGTGTGTGCATAAGAACTTCAAGATTATGATATCCAAAGTAGAAGCCAAACGGAGTCTGTAGCTCATCTAAGCTACCGGGTTTCGTTATTCAGTTGGCATGTTAACCGACCTTAAGAAATGAATCCATTGTTTATTATCCCACTCCCTAGATATTCTTTTGGGAACTACTAGATTTGAATCGACAACCACTTATCTGAAAGCTGAAAGATGCAAATAGACCACATTCATAACTGCACTATTTATAGCACTATGGAAGCTGACACCAGTACGTTACAGCAAAATTCTTATATGAAACCACGTTTCAACCGTCAGGAAAACTCATATCACTTCAAGCTTTTTTACACGTATTTTATGGGACGTTGTACACAATGAGTAATGATCGTTAAAAGTAGAAAATATGAGGGGGTCACAGGTTTTGACCACAGGTGTCCGCATAATGTTGCCTATGTCGTGGAATAACCATGTAAGCAATGTCGAGGTTAAGCGTTAAGTAGTGCTAGACAAGGTAAGCAAGTCAGTCTATGAGTTTTTCAACTTTCGCCTACTAAGGTGGCATGGACATTGATCTTCATGTATTTATTATCTCTCCTCGCACATCCTTTTGTCTTCTTTCTTCACCCATTTCACCCTGCATTTTGTTGTGAATTGTGGCAACCTGAATCAATACACTTTTGTCCAAGGTTATCATTTACTTTTCTGTGCCGTTTGAGAAAAATCTGGTAATGATAAGTTTGGCCTACCTTTTGACATTTCAAAAAAGTGAATCTATTTAGAAAACTCAGTTTGAGGTTATACTCATACACTAAATCTCTGTTTGAAGATAAGTCCAATAAAGCTACTGATATTGTTTATTAAGAAAATGCAAATAACAATGGCAAAATTACTATGGAATTTGGGGGTCTGTTGGGATTCACTTGTTTTCAGGTCGATATTCATTATTGACTAACATCAACTGGGGAAACATTGGAAACCTGGAAGCACTGGGCAGTTCTTTCGTTCTAGTACGGGACTCAACAGTGCACACCCATGACCCCGCCAGGGATGGGAGCTAGGACCTACAGGTTATGCGGCCAGCACGTAACCGTTGGGCCACTGGGTCGGAACTCAGTGGTCCATATTCCCCACTTCTGTCAGTTCACGGAATGGTGCAACCTACATCCAATGCCGTCGTTAACTAACTGTCATCATATCCCACTTGGTTGGCCTCACTAGAACTTCAGGAATCATCTCTCAAAACGAGTCACTAATGAGCGATAGACCTCTCGCAGTTGTGGGTGCGAACTGCTGAGGGACGCCGTGCTGGGACGAAACAGATATTCAGTGCTCCCAGGTTTCCAACGTTTCTCCAAATGATGTCTATCCATGATGAGTACCAACCTGAAAATTACCATACATAGCAACAGTTTATCCATTTGCAAATAATCTATTGTTCTGCATGTCAATACACACACTTGCTCTTTATATTTCCATGCAATATTGTATGTTCTTTTCCCTTGGTTTCTTACCAATCCATCGTTATCACTTTGTCGTTGCCATATAGACTACTTATAAGCATTCGTACAAGTAGCTCTCATTGCGTATTGAAAATTACTGTTACTGAATGTTTTTGATAACAAGGTGACCTTACTTCCTATAGTACCCTATACCATCACTAGGGTTCCAGAATCTCACATTTTGTTTGCATTACCATATTTTATCTCTCCTGACTCCTTTGAACTTCATTAAGGAGTCGGCTTTTGTCTATCAGAGTGACGGAAACAGGCTCTTGAAGAGGAGACAACTATAGCAACAGCTACTCATAAGAATGCATATAAGTAGTACACATAGCAACGTTGAAAGTGGTAATAATCTGCTGGTGAGGAATCCGGTGATAAAAATATTCAATACCAAATTGAAATATGAACTGCGAAAACTGCTGAAGGATATACAGAACAAGAGATTCTCTGCAAATGGATAGCGCGTGAATTCAAGTATTTTCATCTATATCAATTGTATTCTCCGAGTAAACACTAGCAACTGCTTCATCGAGCTTTTCGTCAGCCCTGCATATTAGGTGGTTTATTAGAATTCATTGATTTCTGTGTGATTTAATTGATGAGAAACCGCTCATACGAAATCTCAGGGAGGTAACTGCTTACAAGAGTGAAACTATTAATCGATCCACTCAAATTACACCTAACCCTAAAACCTGAAGTAAATAGAGACCAATAAGACCAACAAACTGGCCACAGGTATATCCTATTATTTTTCGATGAAATAATTTTCTTGCTGTTTTAACCTTGATGTAAATAAGTTTTCAGCGAACAAAATAATTTGTAGTGGAAAAAAGATCACGTAGCACTGGCCAGTTTTTTCAATGAATGTAAAGTTACCTTTTTGTCTACTAGTTTTATCATTGTAACAGAAATAATGCTAAAATTTACCGAAACATTTCAAAAATGAAACAATTCCTGCTATTATTGTGCGTCAAAGTTTTTATCACCAATAAATAATCTATTAAGTTTCCCCTTCAAGTAATTACATTCATGGTTTTGTATACTTTAAAATTAATTTTGAACATTAGCAAACAAAGCGCGAGATTGAAGCTGCCGCATTGGCTCGAGCAGCTAGTGAAGAGCGTCGACGTGTTGAAGCGGATCGTATTCGCAAAGAGCGTGATTTGAATCGTATGGAAGCCAAACGTGAAAGGCGTCAGTTGCGAAGTATTCTTGTTGATCGATTTAATTATTTTTTGACCGATAATAAGGTTAATACATCTGAAACCGGATCTCATCAAGTCAAAATTTTAGCCGACATGGATTTACTATGCCAACGTTTGTCGAATGCACAGTAAGTTTCTTTGGTATGCATAATGTTTTATCGGTCTTTTGTTTTCGTCCCTTGTAAATGGTTATTTCATGTTTCATGAATAATAGTTACACACGTTATTTATTGATGACGTAAAATCGGAGTCCACTCAAATACCACATACTCGTCCTTGCAGTAAGCAGTGAGCCACACCTATTGTGTAAGGCCGTACCTGGCTACCCAGATTGGTGGGGTGGGATTCGAACCCGCGCTCCATCGGTTGAAAGTCAACTATGTGGACCACTGAGCCACAGCTTCGCGTAATTCCAACAAAACCGATGGGACATAACAGAATTGTCACTCTCGATTAGTTAATGAATATAAATGGGCTCAACTTTCCACTATTTGTTTTCTAGTTGTTTATCAAACTGGTGTGTGAAGTCTGCCGTATCTACTTGAGTCCACTTAGATTATAAATTTATGCAGTACAAACTTTTTGTCTTACTTTCTGCAATATAACCTCTGTCAAGTATTGAACACTTAGGTAAATTTTTACAGCTCATGAGTATTATGTAAATTAGGAAGCAAACATCGTGTATGTTCATTTTGATTACTTTTTGTTTCAACTTTGAAAGAAGTAGCAGTTATCTGAACTAGAGTCATACTAAAATGGACTTTTCAAAAAGATTTCGTGTTCGAATTATATAACAACAAGAAATCACAAGTAACTATATACAACAAATGATGCCCGTTGCACAAGAGATGGCTGTCGTGCCTCAATGGTTTAGTGTATGAGACTCTGGCTTTTAAAGCTGTGTAGTGGTTTTGAGTCTCAGTGGGAAAAACATCATGCACTCGAGTTCAGGTACACCCAGCTAACGAGTCCCAACTTGGATGAAACGCACATCCTGGATTCTATCGCTGGCCACCAAATGGACTACAACTTAGAACTGTTTATGTTTTAGGATGCTTATACTGCATTTCTGAGAGTAAACTTTCCCTATAAACTTGGTGGAGCGGTGTCCCATTGGTTTAGGTGCTCCACTCGCAAGCAATGGGTCCCGAATTCTGATCCCACTGCACCTGCTTTGGCTTGGAAAACCACTAGTATCACAAGCCCTCACACAAAGTATGGCTGATAACCTAATCATTAAAACATGTACTGGGTTGGTTTGCATTGCTGTGAACATGTGTTTCTCATCAATAGATGGTAATACAGTTTTAAATATTAGATTGTGAAGACGATCGCATTGTGACTGACATATTTATAATTTGCGTATAACAATTCATGCCGAGGCGATACACACAGTGAATCATATCCATCAAATATTTTTATTATTGTTGTTTCTAATAGATTGCACGATTTGAATGAACGCTTAGAGCATGCAAATACACCTGATCAAGCACGTGAAATTGTTTCATCTGAGGTATGTATAATCTCTGGTTTATTTTCAATTTCATACTCTTGAAATAATACTACTTTATGCACTTGGTCCCCTCAATAAATTTGAATGAAGCGAAAAAAAAGGAGACTTACAGAAGGAAGTGAGGTTATTTCTACGAATATTTGTGAGCTCCATGCAGTCTAAAGTTAAAATGGCTAATAAATCCAATGCCATTCTGGCAGAATAAAAGGTAGACTGTGAAGTTGTAGTACTGTCTTATTACTGATACTAATGTATATTCTTGTGTCGACCTGCTAAGGAGTCGATTACGTTTACGAGGTGGTCACTTAACTCTTAAGCTCACCACCACGTTACACTTTGCTTAGGTGGTTGAAGGTAATTAGAGGAAAGCTGTTGACATGCGTTTCGCGCTTGTTAGCACTCATCAGCAAGGCGTATCTGTAACCTCGAGAGTACTGATGCTTCTTCAGAGTGTACTCTGATGCCAATTCTCCTAGAATGGGAACTATGTCGCAAACTTTCTCGATAGAATTCGGATAAGATAACACTTTAGTTTCTAATAACCAACTAGTGCATTTATTTTTATCGTCCCGGGTTACAGCACTGGTTGACATGGTACGATTTTCGAAGAAGTATGAGTTTCCTCAAGGTTACAGGCACATCGTACTAGCGAGTGCCAAGAACTTTAATAGGAAGTCTGTCGATCAAGTTTATGCTAGTCGGTCACTTGCTTTAAATATTGTTCCTATTGACCTTTACTGGGACGAGATACTATTCGTTAGCTAGTTTGACTTCTACTTGATCAATATGACCAAGTCTTCTCTTGATTTCTCTAATTCCTCGTATGAACATCCAAGTTCTCCAATCAAAACGTTTGTAGTTTGTATGGTCATTCACTTGTTATTCATTCTTTTTCAGGTAGAATCAGTTAAACGCGAACTACAATCAAAAAATGTCCAACCTCAGATTAAATCAAAATCTGACATGAGTTCTGCTACAGAGGGACAAATTATTGCTTCAAAATGGACAGCTGAAATGATTCAGATTCTTGTCAAGGCAGTTAACCTTCTTCCCGCCGGGACGCCCAAGCGGTAAGTTTTTCAATAAAAGTTTGTGCTATATTGATTTCTTTACTGAATATTCATCATACATAATGATGACATAAAATTAAGTTTGTCCATCGATTTAGCTTTGCATATTTATGATTCGTATTCCGGAAATGGATCTGATAAATCACTCAGAAATGATGTAACTCTCAAGAAACACGTGCAGCTCTCCTCATTAGTCATTCAGCCCCATATATTGTGTGATGTTTCGGTTGCCAAAACCTTGGTAGATAAAGTGGGGTTCGAACTAGTGTCTTACTACTTCAGATTTATTTTCCTAGACCCACGAGCCATAGCTCCATATCAATAAAATTATCGACTTTGCATGCTGGTGTTATCCATTACGAAATGAATGAAACGCACTTAATCACTTTTTGTACATCCGTACAATATGCGATGAGCTACACCAATCCTGTGAGAGCTAGTGATGCTACGTGACTGTCCACACCTAGGTAAGCGGATGATAGCCATCTCCTTGAACCAATGACCCACAACTCCCCTGCTACTCACTTACAGCTAATATATGAAAATTTCATCGCTCGTCAGTGGTGCCAAACAAATGATACTTCAAAATCTATATTAGTACAGTCGGTTGTTTCCTGATTTCAGGGAAATAGAAACTGTTTCGTTTTTCTGATTGTTTGAAGCTGCAGTTAGTTTCTCTACTTGCTGAATCTTTAGCAATTAAAAATCTTTGCCTTCTATTGATTTACCCGTGTCTTTTAGTTGAAGAGGTTGAGTTATTTCTTGATAATGACAAGTATTTCTACACTGAAATATCTGTTAAAAATTACCTCAGTTGAAAAAGAACTCCCCAAGAAACATCTATACCCTAAGCTATAGCTATCTGCTACTATACATAAGTTAAAACGTTTTATTAAGTTATGAATCGTAAAAGTAGTCTTAGTTAAGTGGAAACGTAGAGGTTGATATCATTTGAGGTCAATTGATGTTATTCACGTATGCTAAAATTCTAATTTTGAGTTTTTTGTTATTATCTGAAGTTGTTTCTGCCAGACACTTATCGCTATTTAATACTGTGTTTACTTTGTTAAGTTGGGAAGCTATTGCTGCCTATGTAAACCAACATGCTAATGGTATCTCCGTAACCGGTAAAGAAGTTTTGAAGCAAGCGAAAATGCTAAAGGAAGAGGGTTAGTTGATACTTTCTGTGTTTTTTATCTTAATCACCGTTAAGCGTCAATAAACATTTGGCTAAATGACGTAAATTTTAGGATAAATAGATGTAATAAGTATCAATTGTATGTTCCGATTAAATATTCAAACCATTCTATTAATTTAATCAAAGCAAGAATAAGCGGGTTTGCAAAACACGATAGATCCAATGCGTGTTCTTGCATTCTCTTCAGCTGTATGTAAACTAATAAAGTAAAAATTCAGTTCACATTCCAACTTATTTCAAAACTGAATAATGAGATGTTCAGGAAATCGTAATACAATTGTTTGGAAAACAGCTCTCTAAGAAGAAGTAGTTGCATAGATTTCTTATACAGACTCATAGTTACTGAAATAATGTGCCACAATCCAGCACATGTTTATGAACTAGGCTATGAGACCCTGTTTCTGTTTGAGGGCTTATGATAACATACGGTCGCCCAGATTTAAAGGAGGCGCAGCGAAAATAGAACCCGGGACCTATGGCTTAAAAGTCAAGTTTCTAAGTCAACGAATCACATTTATGGAATAATGTTAGGTGGCTTGAGTTGCCTACATTGGCACTATGGCAGTTAAAAGGCTAACTACTGTCTCATTGCTCAGTTTTTAATTATGTTGGTATTCGTCTTAAAGATTTATTTTATTAGTTAACATGGAGCTTAAGAGAATTCTTATTTTGCATACCTATTCCTTCTTGCTTTATTCAAATTAAAAACAACATATTCAGCGAAGAGTACGCTTTTCAACGAACTTTTTCTCAATCTGTACATTTGTATATATGTTATTATATTTGAAAACTGCGATCCTTGAGGAAAAGTAAAATGGGAGATTGAAATAACAATAATAGTGGTTATGACCATTATAGTGTTGCTAGTTGATGATGGAAAGGTCGAATGATAACAAAAAAGTGGTTATGCAAAATTTTTAAAATCGTTTATACAGTGCATACAGTTTACAAAGTGAGTGAAAAAGTGATGGAGTTAATAGGCAATCAAAGGACTAGGTAAGATGATTGAGACAGGTTAATTGAAATCATTTGAAAATGTTTAGTTATAAGTTGCAATTATTGGAAAGATTAAATGAAGTAGACTGGCAACTATTAAATATAGTAATGATAATGAAGACATAAGAGTACGAAGATCAGTTTAACAAAGGGAAAAGTTGAAAAAAAGTAAAACAAACCAAACTAAGGTAAAGTTAGAGACAACAACTGTACGTAGTTCTTTTGTACTCAAACGTCAGGTTTCAGTTCATGGATAGCCAGATTGAAAACGGAGAAAGTTCGTAGAGTATCACCCAGTGATTCGTAAATCTACGAAGCAGTAGTAAGATGCCTTTTAACTAATTTGAGTAAATACCGATTGCAGAAACTGGGTAGGCAAAATTTGAAAAATTAGCTGGAACAAAATCGGAATTAGCCAAGAAAATTAAAATAATGTTTAGAGGCATGTACGTCAGTGATTCTCAACAATATTGTCTCAAACGGTCTATTTCGGTTGTCATGTGGGCCCCAATCTGGAAGGTTGCATTATCGTAAATGGCTCAGACCAGCAGTCAGATATTTCATGGACTGTAGCCACGTTTTAGTCTAACAATCTGTAAGCATTTTCCAACCTGAACCTTATTCAGATAACATTGCGCGACAATACACGGTGATTGTAGGTGCGTAACACATGTACAAGGTATTTTATTCACTGAAAATTCACAAGCTCATCTACTGACCTACTCTACGCCTAACTTCTGCGTTCCTAATGTGTTGGTACCAAGACACACAGCCTATGCTACTGTTCTCAAACATTTGACACCTCATTCCCCACACCTTTCATGGCCATACTTCGCTGTCATATTGGTGGTGAAAAGCTTTACCCGAGTGCTACCGACAGAAAATTTAAGTTTACAGTGCTGTTTTTTTTTCATAACTTCTGTTTGATAATGATTTGATATACTGGGTGATGATGGAAGGTTAGATGAAAATCCGACCGTGGTCCAGATTCTCATCTCACCAGTATAAAATACCAGTCTGCCAAACTACGGCTATCTCAGATAGTCAAATGGTAATGGTTTGTTATGCTAATATGTAGAATGACTTATAATTTATTCTTGAAGGCCAAAAATATGATGTCAATCATAAGGTTTGAAGAATGAACTACATATCCAATTATCTCTGAAATCGTATGTACAGGGTCAGAAATCGTTCAAGCAAGCATGGTTTTTCCATTTTACCTTTTTCAATACATGTGCTACAAAGCGAAACAGTATTAATTTACTGGATTACATTTCGGACACAATTTATTGTCCAAACTCATATCAAGTTCTTATTATAACTGTGCACAATAGATTCTGTCTAAAACAAAATCCAATAAATAATACTGTTTTACTATTTGATACATAATGAACAAGCTAAAATGAAATTACATAAGACCATAGTGCTCAAGTTCTACTCTATACATGATTTTCGTAGCGAAATGAATTTTGCCTACCTCGGCATTATTTGCAATGAATTTAGGTGTCTACATTCTGATAATATGACATTGTTGATTAGGACCATAGGTGGTAATCTAAATGTTCGTTGCTAAGTTTTACGTAACTAAAAGTAACTTATGTGGAAATTAAAAAGTCTGCAACATATATAGTCGAATCGTTTACCCGAACATCTGAAAAATGCCTTTGATTTGATAAAATTGAATCTAAAGGTAACCGAAATGAAACAGAGAGTATATTTATTACCGCTGCAATTTTAGGTACTATCTAGACACTATCAAAACGGACAATTCATGACACTTCTAGTTGTCCGAGTCGACTACATGTATTGTGTTGTGGACTGGTCATTTTTTCCGACCTAACAAGGCTCAGCAGTTTTCTGAGTATCATTTCTCACGGAATCCTCAGGCTATGTGATGACGTTTTTCAAATTATAATTTTACTAAGCAATTTTTCTCGTTATTTCCTCATATTTTCGGTTAGATTCAACTTTACGTCAAAGGGCTAATACTAAAGCCTTTGACTCATTCACTAACTCTGTCAAGGAAACGGATGCTGTAAGAAATGTAACAATTACAACCCAATTAGAAGGTACGTTGTTGATAATCGAATTAATTTATGATTTTGAGCAAACGTACGTTATTAAAGCCCCACTTGTTTTCTAGTGCTATTCAGTTTACTGCTTTATTTTTACAAAAAATACTGGTTTGCATTTTCCGTCCTTAGAAAATAGATTATATTATTAGACTGTCAACTGTATCTTTTTATGTAAAGACTAAAATAAATAAAGGTTTGGGTTCGATCACGTTAACTGATGACTAGAAAGTAATTCTCTGTACTGTTCATTCACAGCTCCATCAATTATAATTATACATGGAAGAAAAAAGGACCAAAACTAGATCAAGTTTCTTCTCTTTAATTTACGCACTTACCTTTCAAAAAAAGGTCCCTGCTTCACGTTGACCTGAGTAAACAGATATTATCACAAGCCCTCACATAATGAATGTTGTTCATGGCCTCTTCGTATGAAACCTGTACCGGATTAGGTTACACTCATACATTCTTATGTAATTGCACTTCTAAAAGCGGATTTAGTTTATCCTACCAGTTACTAGACTTTTTGTTGTTCAGTTACTTGCGAAAATGTTCCCTCTTATTCCATTTTTGATTGTAGGCCTTTTACGTGTAAGGTCGAATGAATGGTCAGATAAGCTCAGTGATGCGGAGCGTCTTAGAAATGTAAAAAAGTTCAGATCACTACATTTTATAACGGAATGAAAAGTGGAGTTAGGCAGAAAAGGAAATATTCAAATAAGAGGATATGAGTAGAGAAGTCAGAATTTGAAAGATAAATAGGAAAATTGTTACATTTGAGTTATTACGATGAGTTACAAGTCGCAGCATGGCGTTTCCTTCTGTTGTTCTTAAAACTTTTAGCAATCTCAGTCAGGCCATCCACGCACCCGTAGTTTTTTGCGAGCGTAATTCAGCCAAAACAAAAATTTGTCTCGATAACATCAGAAATCAAAGTAGACAGGGGCTCACACCATCCTGCCTCTGCAGATTCACAACTGCATCGATTGTTAAGCGTGTTTGCTGAAAATTATGGGTATAAATTTAACATTTTCCACTTGGTAGGAGTTATAAAATAGAACTATTTTGAATGCACATATGACGTTTGCAGTTATAGCCTTTTGAGAAGCACTAAATTCGAATACATTTTCATAATTTGACTTTAGATTCATTAGATCTAATACTGTCAATATTTTTTGTTTATAGCTGAAGGATCTCGTCCTTGGACAGTTGTTGAACAACGTGCCTTAGAACAAGCCCTAAAGACTTATCCCAGTACAGTAGGCGATTCCGGTCCAGATGATCGTTGGCAGTGTATAGCAAATGTTGTCGGTACTCGCACTCGACGTGAATGTATATTACGGTGCAAAGATTTGGCAGAACAAGTATGTCTACTATTTAGTAGAAACATTGTATATTTTGTTGGCATTTTATTTACGTTATGGCCATCATAAATCTCAGTTGTAGTCTCAAACTGTAACACTTATTAACTATCACGGAACAACAAACTTGAATGTGAAGTCTTCATCTTCAAAAATTAAAGTGCTTTGGTATCGTGTTCTGCGGTCACATTGTTCCTAATCTCGGAAACAGAAGTAACTATTCCATCCACCTGGTCAAATTATTTGATTGTAGCATTTTAGGTTGATATTCATCATAGGTTGACATCAGTTGAAGAAACATCGGCAACCTGGGAGGACTGAATAGCTCTTTCTTCCTAGTATGGGACTCCTCAGCCAGTGCCCACCCATGACCCCACCAGGGATAGAACCCAGGACCTTCAAGTTATGCAGGAAGCACGTTACTATTGAGCCACTGGGTCGAGTTTCAGTCATCCATATTTTCTACTTGTCAGTTCGCGATATAGCGCAACCTACATCCAATGCTGTCGTTGCGTAACTGTTACCATGTTCCACTTGGTTGACCCCTCAGTTCACGACTTTGGTAATCACCTCTGTACGCTAGTCACTACTGGATGCAGGTTCTATCGTTTTCAAAGCCTAGATTATTATTATTATAGGGCAACAATCTTTTGACGGATTATCAGTGAGCGAATAATTGAAGTAACATTCTTCTCTTTTGTATAAAGGCTTGGTTTTCTGCGTTTGGCTTGTGAGGCAAGAAGAAAATTTCAAAGTTACCACACATCTGTCCTAACCAACAACTTATTAGTGTATAGAAAATGTTCGAAATATACATATCTCTAGTGAAGAAAATAATGGATTTATTTATTTTTATTCATTAAGCAACGTGTGCATTAACCAGCGAAAGGACTTCATAAGTAGTATCAGCATTCTTCACCCGTGATTTTAAATCACTTCAACTGTATGGAAGTAGTTGCTATTGCTGATTTTACTTTAAAGCTGCACCTTAGCTCTGACTTGATTAGTTGTGGTGGTGGCGGTGATTGTAATTGTAGGAGAATGTTACTCGTAGTCCAGTGCATACTTGAAAAACTGTTTACTCTCCAAAGGTTTTGCCTAATTACCACCTAAGTAATACTCGTTGGGGTACACGACTTCATAACACTAACTATTCAGTCCCAAACGATAAGAATTAGATAGCAGTCAACTAATAAGGATACTATTAACTAGCTATTATGCAATGCAGTAGCTTTACGCTTAACGACATTACAAGCGCTATGGAGTTAATTAAATTTGTAATGCTAATAGGTTGTTCTTCTCTGCTTCTTTATTCGTTGTTCAGGTTCGTGCTAAGAAAGCTGCACTAGCTGCAGTCAAAAAACCATCGAATTCATCAGCAACAACGTCTGCTCAAAACAAGAAATGAACAACAAATGCTGAAAGAAATGTAAAGAAAATAAGTATCATACCTATTTTTCAGTCTACCACTTTCTTAAAACGAAAGTTTTTTGTTTATGTATATTCATTCATTCACCCTAGACAAAACAAATAAAGACGACAGTATATAATGTCTATTATTATTTCTATTTCAACTACCCATATACTCACAGTTCAGTGTAATGACACGCAAAGTTGAGAAGTACTGATATTTTTGTAAATTGCATTCCCCATAGCACAGTCCACTGGTCTTGAAGCAACCTACTTATCAGACTGCACAATGATTATGATTCTTACGTGTTACCCACGGTCTTGTCCTGAAGTTTTTCATATTGTGTGATATATATACAAAAGTGCTTATGAATTGTTTTATCTTCAGCTCTTTTTGTAATGTTTTTTGGTTTGTATATTATTACTATTATTATTAATTGTCCCTTGGGTTTCTAGTGGAACATAGGGCTTCAGTAGCACGTCTCCATTTCACTCTGTTCTCTGCAGTCTTTCGAACCTGGCTCCACCACTGCCCAAAAGCCTTCATTTCTTCCTCACACGATCTCCTCCATGTCACCCTCGGACGCCCAACTCATCGTTTTCCATGCGTGTTCCACTCGACGGCCTGGTGCGTGATGTCCCCAAATGGTCTCCTCAGTGAATGCCCAACCCATCTCCACTTCCTTCTGCATGTTTGTTGGGTGATGGGTTCTTGGTTGTTTCGTTGCCAGCCAGAGTGGGTTCCTTGTTGCTCATTCTTTCTGGCCATCTGATGGATCTTCAGTATCGAGTGAGCGTAGGTGGCAACTGTTGATGAATGTCTGCAGTTTGTTTGAAATACTTTTCTTGACGCACCAAGTCTCTCAGCCATCACATAGAAGCACTGACTGACATTAGTGTTGAAAATCCGGATCTTGTTCACGCTTTATGCTGAGTGGAGTGCAGTAGATCTCCACACTGATTTCAGATTGATGGAGGCCTGTTTTGCTGTCTCGCTGATCCCACCTTCGACATACTCATCTGTGCCACCTGTAGTTGAAACGATGCCGCCCAGTTAGGTAGGTAGGTGAAAGAGATAACTTCTTTTAGGTTCCTCCTGGTCATGGTGATTGTTGTCGACCGGGTACCTTCATCGCCTCTACGTTCACCTGAAGTCCGGTTTTCGCTGCCTTACCTCTTCTGCCAACTTACTGGTTTTCGCCTGTAGATCTTCGAGTTTTTGCGATAGGACATTAGATATAAATCATCATCGGTGAAATCCAAATCTTCTAGGGTCCTCTCATTGGTCCAGCCAGCGTGTGACCCTCTTGTTGTTCCTCAGAGTTGTCTGTTACATGATCTAGTCCAGTCGACCACAATCAGGAAGATGATCGGTGATAGTAGGCGGCAGCCTTGTCTTACTCCTGTCTTCACTTCAAAGGCGTCACTCAGCTTTCCATTGTGAATTACTTGGCATGTAGCATCATACAGCATAGAATATAGCTGTTGAAAGAGGTTGATAAAGGTTTGTAACACTAAAACCGTGGTGTTGAAGCAGTTGCCAAATTACCTCTCAGTTGACGCCGTCGAAGACCTTTTCAAAACCGATGAAGTTGAGATAGAGAGTTGATTGCCATTCTACGCTCTGTTGTGTGATGATGCGTAGTGTAGCGTTGGAATTTGATCCTCATATGATTTGCTCTTCGTGAATCCAGCCAGCCTGTTTCGGTCGTAGTTTTGAATGCAGAGTGTTTATTAGCCTCTCCAGGATGATGCAGCTCAATATTTTGCTTGGGTTGGACAGGGGTGGAGCATGATTTCGCGCCAGTTCTTGCGAAGAACTAGGTCTCCCTTATTTGGGAACTTGACAAGGTAGTCCTTCTTCTACTCGGCAGGTACCCTTCCTCGCAAACCTTCTGCCCATTAGCTGTTGATGAACATATATTTAGTTGTGACTATGATTAGGATTGTACAGCTTTTGAAAGCGATTCATCGGCGAAGTTTTCTTCGCTGAACTATCTTTTGTTAATTTTTCATTATCCACACAGAAAGGTCGAGTAACCACTCTAAAAAAAATTATTTACATACAAGACAGCTGACGGCTTTACACCTGCACAGGCACCACAGGAGTTCTCAAGTAGTATATCCCGCAGTTGTTATGTAACTGCTGGTAGAGCTATATCAGAAACGTAACATATGCTCACCCCATCAAAAGTCTGCAGATAAAGCACGCCATTACCATTCACTATGCAAAGCACCGATTTATCAGTAAACAGAGACGTAGATTATTATCGCCAGTGGGTAGAAACAACAGTCGTTTTCTGAGGGCGCACCGTGTTTCCCCGCGAAACGCCCTCACACTTTTCCCTATTCGCCCCACATTTGGTTTCTTTTGCGTTTTCCCTGAGTTTCTTTCGATCTGAAAATGTCCCTGCTTTTTGCCCCGAGTTTCCTCGCGAAAATGTTGACTGGATTTTGACGAAACACACGATATCGTTACTGAAAGTTCACCCGTCTCTTGAGACTTTGACACTAAAGTTGCAAATAGCAAGACAGCGATTCGACAGGATTCTGAAGCTGGAAATCATACTCCCTTTCAAGAGCCTATGGTCATCACCCTTACAAAAAATTCTCAGAAAGACAAAAGGTGAAATGTAACACTTGTTATTAAAGAGCACTGAATAAACATATGGTTATTGAAAAATACTCTCTCCATCATATGAAGTATCTGTAAATCTGATGACAGCGATCAATATATCTACAGAAATTGATTTTGTGCAAATTTATTACTATATTCCTCTGGAACCCAATAACGTTCTTAAAACTACAGTCACCACCGTTTTAGGATTATTTGAATTCACTCAGATCTCGTCTAGATTGAAAAATGCTGCTTGATACTTCCAATGATTTATAGAAAAGTACTTGATGGTTTACCTTTCACAAGTGCATAAACTTATGACTTAGTATTAACCAGAGTACTCAAACCAGAACACTTGCAGGAATTAAGAGTACTTATTCAATGGTTAAGTGAATACAGTCTAACAAGTGAGCGATAGAAAAGTCAATTTGGAAACCAGTCATTACAGTTTCTAGAACACTTAGTGAATTCTAATTCCACAAGAATAAGGTCAAATAAAGAATGTCCTGTTTCAGATTCATTTTCAAAGCTACACAGATCCCTTTGGTTAGCACATATTTATCTTCATTTTATTTCTAACTGTGCCAGATCAGCTCAGACACGAACAGATCTTCAGGAAGGGTGAACGTCAGCTCTTCACATTACCCAAGTGGTCTTTAATGCATCTGAAAAACTAATGCGTGCTCTTAATTTTGAAAATCCCCTCTTCCGATGTAATCCAGATGCATCATAAGCGATAGTGAAAGATGCTTCCCACTTTGCTGGTAGGGACAGTCTTACAATTGTATGTCCATGTTCACTAGCATTACTAGAAAAGAATTTGGTAAATGTGTTATCGAATTGCCTAGCGCGCATTCATTTTGATACTTATTTACTTTTTGATGAGCATTAACTAATAGTAATAAAGTAATCCATATAATGATCCATACCAACATTATCTTATATTCTCTTGAATATTCCTAGACTTTTTCAACTCTACTCCTATTCTAGAACTCAAAATGAGTTAGATTTTTAAAAATATTCCTCACCTGTTTTTATTCAAACATTCATTTTAAACCGACAAATTCATCAAGCTATGAGTTTACCTTTTACCAATGTTAAAGCACAAACTGCGCTTCCATAAAAATAGAACTCTCTTACAACTGCTCAAAAGTAATTGTCCAATGTAGTCCTGGATACCGTGCGATAGGTCATAGGTTCCAAAACCGCTCTGTCTACCGAGATTCGGGCAACGAGGTGGTATCATTAACCACCACACAGTATGTTTGGTTCATTATCTATTGCATTAGTGTACAGATGGTTGTTGAGTGGTTTTGATTTCCGAATGCAACCTTGACATGAATGGATGCAACGGTCTTGTTTCCATGTGTGGAGTTCTAACTTTATGCATAACTGAACATTAAGTACCTCATGAAAAGCAAGTTTATGAAAATATGGAAATTACTATATCCGTCGAATTTCTTCATTGATCCTTGGAATGTTTTCAACAGAGAGGTAGTCTATGTTCTGCCATGAAAATTCAGCAAACCCTTCATATGAGGTACCACCAGTTATGTAAAGTTCGAAAGCAAAGGTAAACTTGAAGCTACGATTTCTGTTTGTGTTCGTGCGGCGTATTACTTCAAATCACAGCAAAATCAACTGTTGATCAGTGCAGTTCTTAAGGAACGTGCTTGGTTCGAATCGGAGTAAGGAGCTTAACTGGATAGTTCCTTTTCTTACAATTTTATATATTCGCTTGCATTGCTTTAAATACAGTTCTTCCAATATTGCTGAGTATTTTTATTCATGAATAAACCACGTTGAAGTTAAACAAAGTTCTGATTTTACGCTTAATAGCAACCTGTAAATTTCTTGAAGAAATTCCCCATCTGGCAATTTTTCACCAACACAAGTATATGAAAATGATAATTCAGTAACACAGATACTGTCTCTTTGAGGTGAAAGAATATCTGAAAGTAGTCTGCACCCTGGACCGGTATCACCTGGAGAACCATTTAAAAACTGGAAGCATTGGACAGCTGTTTCGTCCTAGTATATGGCTCTTCTTTAATGTGTAACCACGATTCTATGAGGAATTTTTCTGTGGGTTATCAGATTTCATAGCAAGCTCATTACCATTCAACCCCCACTATTGGAATGCGTAGTCTACTATTTTCTCTTTATTTCAATTCATAACCTAAAGTGGTGCACATCTGCTTCACTTTCAACTTGGTTAACTCCACAGATCGTGAATTCTCATCAGAACTTTAGCAGTAGGAAATATTAAGGGTTTCCATACTTGGACTAAACAGTTGTTCAATGCTCTCAGGTTTTAAGTGATTCTTTAGTTGGTGTCGATCCGCGACAAACGAAATCGTTATACTTAAGGTATACTACTG